CCCCAAAACCCCAAAACCCCAAAACCCCTTTTAGATTTGCAATTATTGAATTATAGAAAGCAATCTCTCATTCCTTTTCAATCCTTTTTCTGAAAAATAATGCTCCATTCGTTTCATGGCTTCTTTTGATCCAGTCGGAAGATGGAGTTCTCATCGTACTAGGCCTCGACCTTAAATATTAACTGCTCATTTAGTTAGCCAATATTGTTTTGAATGAAGAATGTATATCCTTTAAGGGATTTATATTTATCGAAATTCTCTCTGTATAATTTCTTATGTTCGTTTAATTGCATCAGGATGTTATATTCTTCTTCATCAATAACATCTTCTTCCCATCAAGTTCTAAAGACTTTTGCTTTTCATTATCCTTTATCTCCAGGCTAGCTTTGAGATTATTTATATCTTTCTTTGCTACATTGCATACTTCTTTGAGTTTTTATATTTCTTCTTTCTTCTCTTTAAGCTCTGATCTTTTATTTGATATCTTCTTCTAATTGCTTTCCTTCATCTTTTCTATATTCTTTAAAGGCATCTTTCTTAGATTTAAATCCCTTTCTTTTGGATCTTTTCCTTGAAGGAACCCTAGCCTCAGATTCTTCTTCCTAGTTATCTTATTTCGATTCTTCTTTATCTTTTAGAGAATTTTCTCCATCATCCATCATCCATCATCTCTAGCTTGTGTTGAGGACTAGACTCTTTAGGGCTTTATCAACTCCGAATTCTGAAGTATCTTTTTTTCTTCTCCAACACCCTCTTCTTCGATCAAGGTTTTACGTCTTTTTAATTCAGCAGGAGCCATTGTATCATCATCTCCTCCATCAAAACTGTCTCTAGATTTGTCTCCATGTCTGCTTGAGGATACTCTAGCTTCCTGTAGACAAGCTTCATCTGATGCATCAAATCCCTGTAGTAGCAAATAGATGGAAAATCATCGATTTCATCAATGCTTCCTGCTAGGGATTTCTTTGAAAGGTCTAAAAGCTTTCCAGGAGGTGAAGGAATATAAGTCTGATTTAACTCACTTTTGGAATCCATTATCTCTTTCATACTTTCTTAATAGAACTTCTGGATCCTGGTTTACATTAATAATAGCCTTGTTATGCACTTTTATCATTCTTGTAGCAAATTTGAAGGTTGATATGGTTTCCTCCAAGTTTGATAATTCTGGCCAAATATTGGCAATCATTAATGTTTTGCATTTCCCACCAATCATATCTTTTAAAAGATTTGTGAGTTTGCTTTGACAATAATGAACATGATCTCGATGCTTACCACAGACAGAAACAACCACTTGTTCCATACAACTTAAAAATTCATTGATAAAAGCTGCTTCTTTAGTATAATTTCACTCGAATTAGTCTTCTTGGTCTTCTCACTTCCTGCCAAATCCACCAAATGTAGCTTGCTAACATGAACCTTCTCAGTGTTTTCCACTCTCAACTTGCTTTCGACATGCAAAGTAAAGATGCAGTGGGAACGAGAAGAGTTTTTGTTGAGTTAATGCTGGTTGACTGTACAGTTGGTGCCTCCTTTGAAGAGCAAATTGAGGGCTTCTTCTTCATTTATGCAAGCATGGGTTGTTAAGCCTTATACTTTAATATCTCCAGACACATCTTTAAAAATTGAAAATGGTTTTCCTGCTCCTGTCTGTCCATAACACATAATTGTTCCACTATATCCTTCAACAATACTTGAGATGACTGACCTTCTACAATAATCAAAGACATCTATTCGACTAGAATTATGAAATATCTTTTATATTTTAATTGCCAAGACTCTTGCTGGTAGTTGATTACTCCCATTTCTTCATCCTTAAGTTTCGTAACTGTGATTGAATTATTCTTAGTGCCAATCTTAATATTCTTTGAAACAAAGTGTGAAGTCGGTCTATTCCTGATTACCTATATATTATCTCGAGAGTTCCTAAACTGGTGTTTCATTTAAAATTAATTAGTCTTTTCTTAGAATAACAGTTTGATACAATCATGATTCTTGAGTCAAAGCAATATAATTTATTTTATAAATGAGTAATTATGTTTATTTACATTCGAAAATATGAAATGAGTAATCAAGGAAATTAATTATCTCCAAAATGACTTACAACTTTAATGTTCTTTCTCCATTTAAAATTTATGAATTTCAAAGATGAATTAAAATTTTCAATTTTAGAAAAATAAAAGGGGTTTTGGGGTTTTGGGGTTTTGGGGTTTTGGGG